TTTCAGGGGTATACCCTCATCCTTTAAAACGCCAAACTACGGTCACAGATGACTACAGGCTCTATCTTCAACTGCACAGTCTAAACTTTCTTCAGATTTGTCACAAGAGGAAAAGATTGGCTGATGTCATATGCAAATTGCTTTAAGAAAAAGTATAAAAACAAAGAATATTCTACATTTAACAGAAACAGAAGTTATAATTCCATGAAATTGTACCATATGACCTAACAAAAATACTTCCTAGGAATATCTTCTTTGAATTTTAAACTATATCAGCGTAAAATTATAACTGATTAATCTGGGTATTATACTTTCAGTCCTGGAGAATGAACCCCAAGGCTTCTGCACCAAGGGTACTGCCCCACTTCTTTTTTAAACACAGGGTCTTTTAAGGGCACTAAGGTGCTGATGCTGAGCTCAAACTTGTAATCCTCTAGCCTCAACCCTCATAATCTGGGTTTTAATTTCCATTATTCTTTTGCAAAAAAAATTTGGGGGGGGGGCTAGGGTGTTTTTAGACAGGATCTCACTCTGCAGTTTAGGCTAACCTTGAACTTGTTTATACAGCCCAGGCTGGCCTCAAAATCATGGCAATCCTCCTCCCTCTGTCTCCCAAGTGCTGGGATTATAGGCATGTGCCATCATGCATAGTTTCTAATTTGTTTTTTTAAAAATTATTTTTATTTATTTATTTATTTTTATTTTGTGTGTGTGTGGCCAGCTCAGCCCATGGGGGGGGGGGGCGCGCCTGGCTGGCATGTGGTGCTGGGGATTGAACCGTGGTCCCTGTGCTTTGCTGAGCTTAGCTTGTTCTAAGTAGGTGCTTTAGACCACTGAGCCATCTCACCAGCCCTCTAATTTGTTTTTTAAAAAAGAAACAACAACAACAACAACAACAAAAAAGAAGATCAAGGCCTGACATGGTAGTGCATGCCTGTAATCCTAGCACTCACTTAATATGCTAAGGCAGGCGGATCAATGTGAGTTCCAGGCAAACATGGGCTATATAATGAGTACAAGGCCAGCATGAACTGCAACACAGCAAGACAATGCCTCAAAAACCCAACCCAACAAGTGTACCCGACCAAACCAGAAGATCTGAGAACTTAGCTCAGTGATAAGACTACACTTAGCATGTGAGGCCTTAGGATGGATGGCCTCTCAGCATCCCACATAAACACAAAAGAAAGACTAAACAAAACTCAAAAAGCGAAAAAGAAAAAACTGAGAAAGGTTAATTAGATGATGATCCTGGGCCAGGAAAAATAGCTCAGTAGCACTGCACCTGTCCAGCAAGCACAATGTCCTAAGTTTGATCTCCAATACAAAAAAACAAAAGATCCTGCATGGTTTCTCTGCTGCCTTTATTAGGCGGTACAGCAGACCCTTCCTAGTCAAAGCAAATTTTCAAGGTATGGACAGTACACTGATGAATGGACATTTGATAAAATGAGCTCTGAACATCAAAGCAATCCACCAACATTAATTCTGGCATAGATTACAGAAAGTGAAGACTTTAGTATAACCCATTAAAAATCTTACATGGAAGGTGTACACAGTGGTGTACACCTATAATCCCAGCATACAGGGAGGATGAGGCAGAAAGTCCAAAAGTTTGAATCCAACCCAGGAAAACTTAGCAAGAACCTGTCTAAAAATTCAACAAAACAAAACCAGCTAGAAATGTAGCTCATGAAAAGGCCCTGGGTTCTGGCTAGGAAGATAGCATGGTGGTCTCAAAGCCTGCCTGGCAAGCACAAGAACCCAGGTTTGGTCCCCAGTACCGCATGCCATGAGGGCCTGGCACACCATGTCGGCCACCAACACCAGGGGTGGTGGTATATGCCTGTAATCCTGGTGCTGGGGAAGCTGAGACAGGAGGATCACTAGGAGTCTGAGCTGCGCAGTGAGACCTCTACCAAATAAATAAATAAATAACTATAGGCCCTGAGTTCAAACCTCATTACTGGAAAATAAAAATTCACATAGCCAAATAAGCTAAGAAAATAAACCTGTACCAATCTATCCTGTAGAAATATGATTCTTTACTAGTACCTTTGTCTTTCTTGAAATCCAGGGCATCTTGCTTATCTGTGACAATTTCCTTCATGTTAACAACACTTCGGTGGATTAACTGACGAAGGATTTTGATTTCACGGATGGCTGTGATTGGGAAGCCCTCTTTCTCATTGTCTAGTCTCACCTTCTTGAGAGCTACTAGTTCTCCTGTTAAAACAAATTCACACCATTATTACCAATTAGCATTTTCAATCAATATCATGAATCAGCATTATATGCCTTTCCTCTCACTTGGTCTCTATTTTTCTTTTTTTTTTCAGTACCAGAGATCAAACTCAGGACCTTGCACTTGCCAGGCAGGTGCTTACGCCGCTAAGCTATATCCTTGGCTATCTTTACTTTTTAAAAAACTCTTACATTCCCTTTCTTTTTCATTTTGGTGCTGGTGAGTGAATTTAGGCCCTTACATGGTATACACTTTACCACTGAGCTATACCACCCCTTCACTTGATGTTTTTTTTCTGGCCCTTCTTGAATCACCTATAACTCAAACCCTTAATTTTTTTTTTTTTTTTTTCCCAGAACGGGGAATTGAACTCAGATGCTTGTGCTTGTCAGGCAAGTGTTTATTCTACTGAGCTATCTGCCTGGCCCCTTCAAACAATTTTATATTCAACTTTTCTCCTATTCCCTAATACATAGCAATCACAAGTTCACCACTAGGTTGGACAAACTATTTACCTGTATCTTTGTCCTTAGCTTTATACACTTGACCATAGGTTCCCTCTCCAATAATCCCGATAATGTCAAACTTGTCCACACAGCGTTTCCCCCAGTCAGTTTCTGTTTGTCGTCTTTCTCCATAGCGAGGACAACAAATTCTAAAACAAAACAATAACAAAAAAATAAAACAGCAAAAAAGATTTTTTTACTTGATGACTTTTTTTTTTTTTTGTGGAACCAGGGATTGAACTCAGGCCCTTGCACTTGCCAGGGAAGCGCTTATTCCACTGAGCCATCTCCCCGGCCCCCTTGATGACTTTTTAAATCTTCGATTTCACTGGTTCCAGCATGTGTGATGCTGTAGTTGGAGGATGCTGCAAGTTTGAGCCAGCCTGAACTACACAGAAAGATGCTCTCTCAAACCAAAAAGAATGCTAAATGTAGGGCTGGCAAGATAGCTCAGCAGACTACGCGCCTGCTTTAGTAAGTACAGGAACCCAAGTTCTATCCCCAGTACCATATGCCGAGCTGAGCCAGCCACCAAGTCTGGGCATGGTGGCACATGCCTGCAATCCCAGTGCTGGGGAAGCTGAAAACAGAAGGATCACTACGAACGAGTCTGAGCTGCAGTGTGACCCTGTACCAAATACATAAAAAAAAAAGTATCTTAAATATCTAGTGTATTTATATCTTTTTTCCCCATTTACCCTTCCTTCCTTGTCCCTTTCTCCCTTCAGTTTTGGGGGTTTTTTTTGGTGGGGGGGGCTTTTTGTTGTTGTTTCTTTTTTTTTTTTGCAGAACCGGGGATTGAACTCAGGCCCATGCGCTTGCCAGGGAAGCGCTTATTCCACTGAGCCATCTCCCCGGCCCCAAAGAATTTTTTTTTTTTTATCAGTTTTTTCCCTATTCATAGTATCTATTGTATCTTTTGAATTTATTTATTAGTGTGTGTGTGTGTGTGTGTGTGTGTGTGTG